TTATTCAATTAATTATTATAGTTTACAAAAGGTTTTGCATAGAAAATCAAACAAAATTAGTCAAAAAGCAAGGTCCCACCGAGATTTGAACTCGGATCGCTGGATTCAGAGTCCAGAGTGCTAACCATTACACCATGGGACCGTTGAGAGGGGTGGCGAAATTTCGTTCCAACCTCCACGATTAATGATAAAATAACTAAATAAACTTTTTATATACAGGGTGGCCAAAACAGTGAGGTCTAAAAGAAAAATTTAGATTCCTTACATCAAGGTGTATCTAAATCACCCCCATGTGTATAATACGATTTTGCTTAGTTTAGGAGATAGAGTTAATTTTGTGATATTTTAAAATTTTGTGACCTAGTAGGCTTTAAACATTTTTATCTTTTTTTTGGGTTGACTTTTTTCAGATTTCTTTTTTTCGACAAATTCCTTATTAATTGCAGATATTTGAAAAAAATAATCACCTTCCTATCTTTGATGCAAGATACAAAAGTTTTGCTAGAAACATTAAAATTATGCTTTTAGCAGAACACTATCAAATTTTCAACTTAAAAGTTTAAGTAAAAAAAGAACTTCCATAGGTTCAAAACCATTTTAAAAACTGTGCCGTTTCCTGGACATTCATAATAATACAAAAAAACATGTACTTAATGGGCCACTATTTCCTGTAATCGCTCCACTAAAGTAGTAAGTCGGAGATTCCGTTACATGTTTTTGACTTTCTTAGAGTGAATTAATATTGGGAATCCTCTAAGTTTACATAACGTAGAACAGATTTAGAGACAATAACTGGACAGAACATGTATTTATTCTCAACGAGGAAGCTCTTGCCCTTTAACACACCTGGTGGAAACTGATGATTAGGCTGAAGGTGGAAGGGAACTTCAACTACAGAGGAACTATGGCTTCCTACCTCCAAATGCCGGAACACATTGTTATTAATAAGTAAGTTTTAATGAACATAAACCAAATATCCCTCGTTCTTCTTCTCTCTGTAGTAAGTATTTTAAGGGTAGGTAATAGTAAAATGTAACAACTGCCTCTGTCTCCAAGTGGTAAGAGGTAAGCTTCAGAAGTCCCGGGTTTGATTCCCAGTAGAGGTGAAATTTTCTGCTCGGTTTGGTTGGTGGTAGGGTTTGATCTAAGTCTGCCTGGCTAGCAACTCTATCTTCCTAAGTCTGTCACTATAACAATAAGTTAATAGCATTACTGTATTCCGGCATTTGGAGGTAGGAAGCCATAGTTCCTCTGTAGTTAAAGTTCCCTTCCATCTTCAGCCTAATCATCAGTTTCCACCAGGTGTGGTGAAGGGCAAGAGCTTCCTCGTTGAGAATAAAAACATGTTCTGTCCAGTTACTGTCTCTAAATCTGTTCTACGTAATGTAAACTTAAAGTATTCCCAATATTAATTCACTCTAAGAAAGTCAAAAACATGTAACGGAATCTCCGACTTACCACTTTAGTGGACCGATTACAGGAAATAGTGGCCCATTAAGTACATGTTTTTTTGTATTATTATGAATGTTCAGGAAACGGCGCAGTTTTTAAAATGGTTTTGGACCTATGGAAGTTCTTTTTTTTACTTAAACTTTTAAGTTGAAAATTTGATAGTGTTCTGATAAAAGCATAATTTTAATGTTTCTAGCAAAATTTTTGTATCTTGAATCAAAGATAGGAAGGTGATTATTTTTTTCAAACATCTACAATTAATAACAAATCTGTCGAAAAAAAGAAATCTGAAAAAAGTCAACCCAAAAAAAAGATAAAAATGTTTAAAGCCTACTAGGTCACAAAATTGTAAAATATCACAAAATTAACTCTATCTCCTAAACTAAGCACAATTGTATTATATACATGGGGGTGATTTAGGTACACCTTAATGTAAGGAATCTAAATTTTTCTTTTAGACCTCACTGTTTTGGCCACCCTGTATGTAAAAAGCTGAACGAGTTTTCATTTTATTTCACCAAACTCTTTGATTTTTTTTAATGACGGAATACTGGCCACCTACATTTTTTCTTCTGCCATGACAAATTAATTAAAATATAAAAATAAAACATAGTTTAGTGATGTTCCGTTCGCAATTTAAATAAATGATTGTCGATTGTTTGCAACACGGTCCGATACAATCGAATGCTGTCGATTAGTTATCATCAATCATACTCGGGTAGGAAGAGGTGAACATGTGCCGATGATTGAAAAGTCGATAGTTATTCAATTAATTTACAATAACCGATGCGTCAAACTATTTTTAAAGTTAGGTTAATAGGGTTAAGAACTTGTTTCTGATGTAGGTTAAGTGCTTAGATAATAATAAGTAATAATTCACTTGGGATAAAAAAAATAATTAAACTTTACATGTTTGTCGATATGAAAACATTAAATTTATATTCTGCTTTAATTTACAGCTAAGTAATAATACTGAATAAATAACTGAAGAACGTAAATGATAAACAATATATTGAGCACAAAAGAAGAACTTAGTCAAAAGTTTATGATCCGCCTGATGATGACTATTTATAATACGTATGTACTTTTACCTATTATAGTTTAATATTAGCCTATTGTTAAAAACTGTCAATAAGTTATTCAATAAAGAATTTATTTATTATTTATTATTTATAATAAAATATTATTGGAAATAAATAAATAAATTGGCAATTTGCGTTTACGTTCCAATTTGCACGGCCCATTGCTTCTGAGTGAGCCGATTATAGTAGGGAATTTAGTGCAAGAACCCCTCCACTTTGGTATAGAAGGCTCATTTTTGCACCAGTTGTTCTTTGGGTGCTCCTGAGTAGATTTCCGTCGGTAGACATCGGGAGGCCCCCCTGTGGTAGCAGGGGGAGGGGGGGCAAGTTTCCTTNAATTCATTGTGCTTGAAGCGACATTGCTGTTTAATTTCTATTTCGGGTGTAGGTGGTAATAATAAACTTAATAATCAAATGGTAGTATTGAATTTTAAACCTAAAGATAACTTGAATAAAGATTTGTCTTGTTCGGCGGTGGTTATGAAAATACCTACAACTTATGTAGTAAAAAATCAGGAAAATTATGATTTATCGGATATTACGGGTTTGACAAAAATTGATATCATTTTCGGATGTGATATTTTGGGGGAGGTTATTAACGGCGGCAAGTTGACGTTGCGACCTGGGGGTCCGTATGCGATAGGCCTCAGCCTCGAACTTAGCGGGCAGCGGGGCGGGAGCGGCGGCGGCGCTGGAGCGGGGCGGGCAACGCAGACCCGTTCTCGAAACAAGCGGGCAGCTCGCGCGGCGCTTTAGCGGCGAAGTGTTGTGTTCGGGGTTGTGTTGTCGAGATATTTGTTTTTATTCGCAAACGAAATTCCCTCCAGACCGTGTGAGATCATTACGACCGTTTCAAAGTGTAGGTACGGACTTCGCGGGACCCTTTTACATAAAATCAAGCTCGTTAAGAAGCTCTCGTGTAGAGAAGTGCTATCTCTGCGTTTTCGTGTGTTTAACGGTGAAGGCGGTACATCTAGAAGTAGTCACGGGACTGTCAGTCGAAGCCTTCGTTGACGCATTCACGAGATTCGTTTCCCGTCGCGGCTTACCTTCACTTGTGAGATCCGATTGCGGCACCAACTTTACCGGAACTGATAAATATCTAAAGGAACTATTCGTATATCTGCGTGATCATAACTACGAAATAGGCCGAGAATTAGCAAAATCTAACGTCACATGGCTATTTAACCCACCTAGCAGCCCAAACATGGGTGGCATCTTTGAAGCTGCTGTTAAATCTGCTAAATCTCTCATGCGTAGAGTTCTTGGAGAACAAAGGTTGACCTTTGAACAACTTACTACCTTCTTTACGCGTGTTGAAGCTGTTATGAATTCTCGACCATTGACTCCATTAAGTTCAGACCCGAATGATCTCGAAATTCTAACACCCGGACATTTCTTGATCGGCGAGCCCTTAGTTGCCCTGCCTGAGTACAATTTTGAAGAAGTTCATATCGGCCGGCTTAATCGTTTCCAATTGTTGCAACGTCTTTCACAACACTTTTGGTGTCGATGGCGCGACGAATACCTTCATACCCTCCAAATAAGACACAAATGGACGGATACGACAGAGCCAATAAAACTCGGTGACTTAGTTTTGATAAAAGAGGATAATTACCCGCCTTTACAGTGGAAACGCGGTCGTGTAGTAAAGCTTTTACCCGGCAAGGACAAAATAATACGAGTAGTAGAGGTACAGACTGCAAACGGCAGGCTCTTACGGCCTGTATCTAAACTCGGTAGGCTTCCAATTATTAGTAATTAGGTCAACCAAGGCAAGCTTGGTTCGGGGGGGAGTGTATGTTCAGGCACACATGCTTTCAATGAGCACGGTACGATTGCGCGGGACCTATTTAAATCTGCCGCCAACTCCGTCCCGCCAAAACTTACACGGCGAGCGCGCGCGACTACCAGCAGCGCCGCGCTCCACGACGGCAAACGAACGAAAACTATGCAACGCGCTCTCTCGCGTTTGGGCCGGCTTCGCGAGTGCCACGCTTATTGTGTGCTCCAACGGAAATGTGAAATTTGGTGACTTTTCGGAAATGTTTTGTGTGTGAGGCCTCCACAGTACTTTGCTTGAAGTTAGTGACTCAAGTGAACCACCGAAGACACCGGGCGAAGCCCTAACTACCGGCCGGCGGCGTCCTACAGAGTACCTACCAGCAGCGCGGCGGCAGACAAGGTACCTGTTCGATTGTTTCTGTGTTTGTTGATTGTGTCGTGCCTGGACGACACTGGGGAACTCATATTCGGATAAGCTATCGAAGTAGTTAACAGGAAGTTTATAAAATTTTAGGACTTCTTCATTTTTAATATTGACGAGTCCACAGTCCACACTCATTTTAATAACTAAGTAACGTTATTGCAAATAACCGAAATAACTAAAACCGTAAATTGCTAAGTACACACAACACTAATACCATAGACAAAAGACGCGACTGACGCACGAAAATTAAAAAATATAATTTGAGGTTAGAATTTGTATGATGTGTCAAAAATATTGCTACAAAAACATCGATAGTGATCGATAGTAATAATGTTAAATAGTGCCTTTTAAATTTATCTTCAAGGAATAATACTCCCTTTTGAAATGGCGGTGGTAATAGAGACGACTCTTGGTGACATCACCGTGGATTTGTACTTAGAACAACGTCCAGTGACATGTCTCAACTTTCTGAAACTATGCAAGATGAAATACTACAACTTCAACCTATTTCACACAATAAGAAGTGGATTTATAGCGCAGACTGGCGACCCTTCTGGCGAGGGGTCAGGCGGTGAGTCTATTTTTGGTCTTTTGGAGGGTCCAGAGAAACGTTTCTTCTCCGGCGAGAAAATGCCTAAAATTCGTCATACGAGCGCTGGATTACTATCAATGGTGTGCACAGATGATATGATGGTAGGGTCGCAATTTTTCCTCACTCTTGGCTCAGAATTAGATTCCTTAGACGGCATACACTGTGTGATTGGCGAGGTTACTGAGGGTCATGAAGTTTTGCGTAAATTAAACGAGGCAATCTGTGATGAGACTCATAGACCTTACCAAGACGTGCGAATTACTCACACAGTTGTATTAGAAGATCCATTCAGTGATCCTAAAGGATTTCGTGCACCATCCCGGTCACCTTCTCCTAGTGCGGAAAGGTTGAAAGGAGGCCGAATAGCTCCTGACGAAGAGCTCGATGAAACTGAAGGTAAATCTGCTGCAGAAATTCAAGAAATTATTGAAGAAAAAGAGGCTAAAGCTCGAGCTACCATCTTGGAAATTGTTGGTGACTTGCCTGATGCCGACATAGCTCCACCTGAAAATGTACTGTTTGTATGTAAACTAAATCCAGTTACCACAGACGAGGATTTAGAAATCATATTTAGTAGATTTGGTAAAATTGAAAGCTGTGAAGTCATTCGAGATAAAAAGACTGGTGATTCATTGCAGTATGCATTTATAGAGTTTTCTGACAAAAAGTCTTGTGAAGATGCTTATTTTAAAATGGACAATGTTTTAATTGATGACAGACGTATACATGTAGATTTCTCACAGTCCGTTTCTAAAATGAGGTGGCTTGGCAAAGGCAGAGGAGTGCAACATTTTGATGACGAAGAAGCTAAAGATGACTCTTTTAGACATAAATCAAAAAAACATGGAAATGAAGATTGGAACAGAGACAGAAAAGGTAATCATCATAATGATAGAGAAAAGGACAAACATAAAAGACATGGAGAAGAAAGAAAACGCGATAGATCTCATGAAAGGGATTATAACAGGAAAAACAGAGATGGAGATGGTAGATCCAACAATAGAGAAGCAACTAGCTCTAAAGAAAGGCATAGTGACAAAAGGAACCAAAAACATGACAGGGACTATGAAAAAAATAATTATGTAACTAGAACAAAAATCCGTAGAGAAACAAGTAGTTCTGAAAGGCAAGATGACGAAAGACAAAAACGTAATAAAGAGCATGAAAGAAAGAATAGGGTGACAGATGTAAAAAAACAAAAGAATCATCGAGAAAGAAGTAGTTCAATAGAAGATGTTGTTGAAGAAAGGCAAAGGCATGAAAAAAAAGATCATGATAAAAGCAATAAAAAAGAAGAGGTGACAAATAACAAAAAATATAAAGAAAAAGACAATTCTCAACAAAGAACAAATGAAGCAAGACAGAAAAATGATTGGTCCTCTGAAAGAACAAATAAAGAATATGATACAAGACATGTGGAACATGAGAGGAAGAAGGCAGAAAAGAATCAGAGAGAAAGAAGTAGCTCATATGAAAGAGAAGATACAAAAAGAGAATCAAGTACATTGAAAGATAAATCTAGGAATAAAAAAGAAAGATCTGTTGATACAATTCATAAAAGTAGAGAGGATAAATATACCTACCACAATAATCATGATACTAGTCCTGAAATCTATGAGCAAAAAGAATATGACAATGTCAAAAGAAATAATTCACAAAGCAATGATATCAAAGATAGAGAAAATGATTATAATTCTCACAAGATAAACAAAAGTAAATCAATGTCTAGAAAGAGGGATCATAGTAATGATAAAGGTGATGATAGAGCTTCCCATAGGAATGAAAAAAGTAGAGATAGATCCGATAGCAAAGATGAGCCTCAACACAAAGGTAAAAAACGACAACTAGAAGAATCAAAAAACAATAGCCATAAGTCAAAAAAGAGCAGAAAAGATGTTGAACCTCAAACTCCTCCTGTGGATAAAAAGCAAAAACATAGATCAAAGAACAGTGATAAATCAAAGAAAGGTGACAAGGGAAAAAATATTTCGAAAAAAGACAAAAACAAAAGAAAACGCAAGGTGTCTACGTCATCAGACTCCTCCTCATCAGAATCAAGTACTAGCTCCGATTCTAGTTCTTCTAGTGAATCGGATAACAGAAAGAAAAGGTTGAGAAGAAAAAGGAAAGATTCATCATCCTCTAGTAGTAGTGACTCTAGTGATACTTCTTCTAGTTCTACCAGTAGTTCAGACTCCAGCAGTGACTCAACTAGTTCTAGTTCAGATAGTGAAAAAGACAAAAGAAGAAAGAAAAATGTCAAAAGGAAAGTTGTTAAGAAAATTAAAAAGAAGTAGGGTAAACCACCCAATCGTTGGCACTCTACCAATTTATTGGCATGCTCCAGTTTTTTAAGAAAATTAAGATTGTTTGTAGCCAAACCTTATATTTTTTAGTAGAAATTGTAGAGTAATATCATTTATTACTCAACTGGCTACACACGTTTTTTTATTTTTTCAAACATCGCGGCGCTTCAACCATTTGTTTGACAAACCGGGACCTGTGCGGAAAAAACAATCGAAATATTCGTTTTTTACTAAGGTAAGAGCTATCATAATCTTTGAAAAAAATGCAAATCTATTTTGTTTTTCTTATACATAATCATTTTGTCTTATTATTGAATATATTAACTGCCTTTTTAAAACATTATTTTATAATTTAACCGCCAACTTTTAATTATTTATGGTGTGCCAACATTTGGTATGCGTAAAATCTGTTTATCCATTTTATTGGCACACATGCCAATAAAAGGGTATTTAAAATAATTTGAGTTTATTAAAAATTATACCTTGTTTGTCTCAAAATTGAGTTTAAATTGCATTTAAAATATTTTCTAACGTTTTGGATACACCAATCCAAATGTTGGCCCAGTGCCAATTATATAAAATCTATTTATTGGCACGGGTGTCAAACATTGGTTAAAAAGGTGCCAATAAAAAATATTCTCTTTTCAGCCACTTTCAAAGCCTTTCAAAGTCTTATTCCACTATTCCCCGTTGACAATCCCCGTCAATGGGGATTAGTGAACTTTTTGTTCATTAATCCCCGTTAACGCCAATGGAGTTTATAATGGGGATTAATGAACTAAAAAGTTAATTAATCCCCATTTTTATCTTGTTACATCTTGGCCCAAAGTATGTAATCGTTTCCATCTTCTTTTAAATGATGAATGGGGAATAACGATTCAATATCCATAGTGCTTTCCGTTAATCAAGTAAGTGTTAATTTTTTTTAAGTTTTGTAATCAGTCTTAAATTTAAATTAATAATAAAAATAGTAAGTGAGTTCTTATCCAATAATAAAAAGAAGGTACCTGATTCTTACATTAGTATTTTATTTTTAACGTACTGGGGATTAATTAACTTTTTAGTTCATTAATCCCCATTATAAGCTCCATTGGCGTTAGCGGGGATTAATGAATAAAAAGTTCACTAATCCCCGTTGACGGGGATTAGTGGAATAAGCCTGTGAAAGGCTTTGAAAGTGGTGCCACGGTCTACTATACAATTCAGATTGAAACATCCTGATCATCGCTCTAAGCCCGGTCCGTTCACAGTTTTAACTGAGGAAGAACAGCTTTTTGTTGACTGGATAAAATAAAAATCAGTAACAAAAAAGGATTTCCGAAGAGAAAAGAAGATTTGATAAAAGTGTTTATGGAAAGTTTAAAACCATATTTAAATATAAGCGTTTGAACTGATATGGTATGTTCCTATACAAAAAAAATTTTATTTTGTTTATTTCTATCATGAATCTCTTTAAAACCTCTACATAAGACCTAGCAGCTATTTATCAGTCTTGCGAGAACAGTGCCAATAATAGGTAATTATCACTGCCAATAAAAGGTTTGGCTATGCCAACAACTGGTATTTTGAGGTAATTTTTTAAAAGGTACACTATATTGAATAAATGATTTAATTTGTTAATGATAAGTACTTTATAATATTCTCCAAAGATTAAAAGACCAATATAAATGTTTCTTTCTTTGATAAAACATATTTTTACATGCAAATTTTACCGGTTTTGTGAAGTAGCTGCTTAAAGTGCCAATAATTGGGTGGTTTACCCTAGGTAGATATGTATCAGTTTTAATTTTTTGCTGTAACAATGAGTGAAATAATTATATGTAGGTACTCTTTGTCTTTGTGATGATCAAATTGCAATATTTTGTATACTGTAAGCTATGAGGATCATTTTTTCTTCATTCAAGTTAAAAATAATGTCAGGATTTAGGTATCCTTCCGTTTGGCCAAATTACTTTTCGCCAAATTTCACTTCGCAAACAACTTATCGCCAAAGTTTCATTTCCCAAATGAACTTTTAGCAACTGTACTTTTCGCAACTAGTTCATTTGGTCAAATTATCATTTGGCAAAATTTTACTTGGCAAATTTTTATATAGCAAATGTTTTATTTTACCAAATATTATATCCCAAATATTTTGTTTGGTCAAATTGACACTTCACATACCCACCGTTACCCACAAATCAAAGCATAAGGCATTTTCACAAGAAATGTATGTAAAACAAAGAGATTGCAGAAAATATTATGGTTGCAGAAAGTAGGTATTGCGGAAAATAGTAGGTTAGGTTAGGTTAGAACAGTGACCCTTAACGCGCGAAGGCGAGCGAAGCGTGCCGCGGCAGCGGCCGCCGAGCGCTAGAATCACCTCTATTGTTAATGAATCATTTGGTAATTTTGATAAAAGAATGAAATATGAAAATTAATTTAGAACAAATTTTATATTAACTACCCACTAAACAAAATAATAACCACCAGCTAATTTATATTCCATTCTATGCACCAATCAAATAATTTTGTAAATAGTTTATCGTGAAATATTTTTGCCAAATGAAACATTTGGCAAAACATACTTTGCCAAACAATAATTTGCTAAACAATAATATGCCAAAAACGACATTTGCGAATTAAAAGTTTGCAATAAGTTGTTTTGCCAAATGAGAATTTGCCAAATGAAAATTTGCGAAACGTTGTTTGCGATGTGATAATTTGGGAAACGTTTTTTGGCCAAACATTAGTAATCCCAGGATTTACATTATTAGTTAGGGTTCGGCCAAACCAACGCGATCAGCCGGCGTGCAGCGCGGCAGCGATGACGACCAGACTTAAATGCATTGATCGCCATCGCTGCACGCGTGTGATCGCGTTGGTTTGGCTGAACCTTAAAAAAACATATTTTTTCTGATTGACATTATACCATTTATAAATTTCATAGTACTTAGCTTACTTGAGTACAATTAGATAGCAAAAATAGTATTTCATTTAATATTACTATATCAAACTTCATTTTGAATGTATGATGTGTACATAGTAACCAATATAGCAGTGTTTAAATAATAGGAAAAGTTGTTTCGTTGGCTATTAATAAAATAAGGATCAATAGTTGTGGATTTGTGCATTTAATTTTTACATAATAAATTATAGTCCACAACTACACACCTATATATAATTTGATAATTTAAAATGAAACAATGTGGCCTAAAATTAGCTTTTAAATTGTGTAATTAATCATAACGATGTCAGTCTCTAAACTTTAATAAATTTAAACAAAAATCATCTTTAGAACTGAAACAGTTGTATTTCTTGTATCAAATTGCCAAATTTTATTGGTGCAGACTACATTATTCAAGTTTATCTCATCTCTGTCATTATTTCCTACTGTTCTTACTTTCTTAAATCTAGCATACTAAACTTCTTCCCCACATTAACTGTTATTTGTATATTATGAAAGACTTATTTAAATGATTTATTTTAAACTTAAATATTGTAATTATTATGTAATCGAAAGACGCGGTAGCGTGTCAAGCCAAGTTTATGATATACATAAAAATTCTAATGTTCCACTACACAATTAAACTTTAGTTAGGCAGATAATATATGTATGTAGGTATTGTATATCATCACAATTAAAAGCAAATAATCAACAAACTGTGTTGTTTCAGTAAAAAAAAATATAAAAGATTTAACAGCAATAAATTTTAAAAATATTGTTTTTCAATTTGACTGTATTTTTCAATTTATATAAAAGTGATTAGGTAGTAATTTTATTTGTTTTTTTGTAGCTTGTAAGATACATAAATTTTTAAGTGATGCCATTTTCATTATTAGTATGTCTTTATGATACAAAATTCTTAATTTGTAGTACAAAAAAGTGGATGTAATTTTTGTATTTATACAAGTGAAGTATGAGTGTGACATCTGATGAATTATAATTAGTTAGGTACTTAATTCACTAATAAAATTATGATAAATGATGTAAGTACCTATTAGTAGCTTTTTGCTTAGACATTTTATTAGTAGATGGTATGTCACAATTATCGATAAGTACTCTATGTATTTTTTTATACATAAAAATAAATATTTGTTCCCACAATGTATGTTCTGGTTTTATTTTACCTACTCAATCGGCAAATCGGCCACAGTCATATAAAAGCTCTTAGCAGTCCCTAGAGCTTATTGTTTGATTTTATTAACTTACTAGCGCTTATCCGCGGCCTCGCCCGCATGAAATTCAGTTTGCGTTATAAATTCTTGTCATCTAAATCCGTTCTGTTTTGCGTTTCGTTAGGTTTTGCGTTGAATAATAAACTCTTACGGATTGACGGCAAAGAGTGTTCGTCTATTATCTATCAATAGATGATAATAATGTTATAGCTACACTCGCGAGCAAAAATATGGTGGAAACACCCTATTTGTTTAGAGCGATCACAATAACTAAATGACTAATAGAAGACAAATAAAGATGATACCATTTTAAAGGTAATATTACAAACTTTAAATTGATACCACAGATACATGCATAGTCATTCAGTTCTTAAGATCGCTCGGAACAAAACACAAGGGAGTGATTCCATATTTTTGCTCGTAAGTATAACATGCAGTCATTTAAAATAGCTTCATACCGTGACAGCTTGTTTACGTCACACGTTACCCCTCTCAGGTACCTACTGCAGCGTTGCCAGTTTTTTTTTTCGCTAAGTCGGGACGGTACTTTTGAGTGAAAATAGCGGGATTCTTCCGTCAGAAGCGGGACATAGTAAAAAAACGTATAATAATCAAAGGTTTTCAAATATTTATCTTTTTATTTGACTTAAAATTACGTTTACGTGACAATAGATAGCAAAAGTAGCTATAGAAAATGTATTTTAACAATAAAAATAATATTTTAAATCAGATTTAGTACGTAGCTACGCCACGTACGGTCGAGTTCTCTCCGAAAAGCGGGACCGAGCCTGTCCCGCGCGGGACATTTAAATTTGATTTAAAAATCGGGACGTCTGGCAACGCTGCTACTGACTGAGTTAAGCGCTAGACCTATAACTCCATTATCTCCTGAGGTGGAATTGTGTAAAGCAATCATAATCATTTGACAGTTCATAATGTACGATAAAGTCAGTTCAACAAATCGTTTGACAGGAATCTCAGTACCTAATGCTCTCTATTATAGTTCCAAAATACTGGACTGTCCTGTCGATGACATTGACAGTGGAGCGCCACCGTCAATACCGGATCGCTGGTTCAGATTTTTGCCATGTTGGAAACCATAAAGTTGAACGATGGTAGCGCCCCCCTGTCATTGAGTTTGGCGGGACAGTTCAGCGTGGGTCATCTATACCTGTTATTTATGTGAGTCTTTTGGGAGCCAACTTGTTCAGACTTCAGATGTCTCCCATTCTCATCATTGGACAAACCTTCGATTCGTTGGTTTCCGCCAATGACGTCCACTGCTGGACTAAGGACTACCACGACGACCGGTCCTACGCTGCCCGCATCCAGGCACCTCCCGCGACCCTCACCAGATCGTCGGTCCACCTAGTGGGGGGCCTGCGCCATTGGACATATTCTGTGATAATCCTCAATATTATAAAGTAATGTAACTAAGTATAATAAGTATGTATTTACAAAAAAAAAGTATTTAAGTATGTTTATATCCGTTGTCTAGTACCCATAGTACAAGCTTTGCTTAGTTTGGGACTAGAAGCGCAGTGTAAAATGTCTAAGGATATTTATTTATCTCGCTCTGAAGTAATATCCCCATCATGCTATTGTTTGATGTCTTTTGTCCCTGTTTTCTGGTGATTTATGATCACCTCTGAAAGGTTGAGGTTTTTCGTTCCAGTTTTAAGTGTTTTCATATAAATCTGAATAGGTTTCTCTGAAGGTTGAAGGTCACAATAATGCTTTCAATCTTAGAAAGCGCTAAATATAGACCAACCCACCCACACCCTTCATCTTTGAGATATTATTCTCGGTGTACCTATAAAAGGTCTCGTGGTACTTACGTGGTCTCAAAAAGGTTGCAACCTTAATACTGTGTCCATTGTGTCCGTTATTACGGCTGTACCACGTGTTTACAGGACGTTCGCTGCGAATCTACCTTTCATTGGTTGACCAGTTACCCTTTGTGTGGTTAAGTGTCTGAACGAGAAGATCGCGCTTGTTAAGCTGCCCATTGTGTCTTCAACGATGTACAGTCGCATATAGCACTATTCTATATTTATCTACACAACGATAAAGGTACTTACGTACTGTTGTATTGAAAACTATCGGATGCTTTTTTTAAGTTGTAGGAATAACTAGTTCTAAATGTACCATATTAGGCGTTAGCTCGGAAAACTCGCGCTTTCAAGACTTAATTGCACACATTTAGGTAGATCAAAGTACAAAAAGGCGAACTTAAAGTCACAAGGTATTCTCCCAGTCAACCTTTGGGCCCATCTAAGTTCTATACAAACGCAATTTCTTTCAACCCTGCCGAATAAAATAGGTTTTGCATTAATTAAATCAAAAAGCGTTAAGCCCACTGAAGTTTTAATTAAATCTGCCCACCAAGAAAATGTTTCATACTAACTTTTCCACTTTTTATCACCCTTTTAGAAGTAAATTACAAAATTTCTTACCTCATTACCTTGTACTTACATAGGTACCTACTTTACTAATGAAATTAAGATTTCTAACGAGAAAGAGCCTGAGCGTTGATGAGGCAATGAATTAAGAAAGATTTTTCTAATAAAAAAGATGTAGGTGTTTCACAAAATCAGGCAAGAACAGTAATTTTCAGTAGGCAATGAAAGGCGTGTACAGAGCAACTGAATAAAAAGCTGTAACATGTTTAATGTATTGTAATTAATGAGGACTGACGCCTCTGTCGTCTGGTTCCTTCCATTCCACACAATAAGACTCCTTTTATGAAGGGCATGTTTAGCTCAGCAGCATCGGACGTCAGCATGCAGGGACGGACTACAGGCTAAGAATATTTGAGGCTAGACCCAAATCAAATGCGGCGATTTAGATGGATAAAAAAGACTGAATCTTGAATGTTTTTTTAACTTCAAATCTCCTGTGGCTCTTTGTGAAACCTTTTCTAACTTCACGCAGCTGCATTAGGTAACAATTTGCGACTTTTTACATTGCTTTTACCGTTCCTTAATTGACCGCTCCAAACTTCTTTGAAGTTTATTATTTAAAGTAACGGTTTCGCATAGGCGAAGTAGAGAGAAAACTAAACTAAAAAATAAGAGTTATTAGCATATAAAATCATAAGTGCGACTGGAATCTTTATCACTGCTATCGTCTGAGTGCGTCCCTGCAAATCACACTGCGCATGTCGCGAGTTTATCGACAGGAGCGATGGGTTTTCTCTCCAGCTTGGGCTCCGACCGACGACACTCGCTGCCTGCGTGCTGACTCTACACGCCCGCATCCGGTGTTCCAGACCAGGGATCCTCCAAGTCTTTGAAAGTCTACAATTATACGTGTCCTGATAGTTCGCAATCATGTTACTAATCAGTACAACCGCGATTTTCGCGGTTCTCTTCGTCTGCGACGCGGTTCCGACACCGACAAACAAAGGTGAGTCGCCATTTAATTTTCGATTTTCATTTTTTTGCTCTGCTTTCTTTGTTTTTGAATGCGTGGTGACGTTTAGGGTGCTAAAGTAAGGTATCCTGGCGAGTCTGGCTTTTTTATCAGTCGGTTGTTGTTTTGGTCCACGTATCGATCACCGGCTGGACTGCGCTCTATATTTAGCAACAGGTGTTCCCCTGCGCCGCCCTTTGCTGCGTAGAAACTCTTTCCACTGGTATCAATAGTGACCTTTCGTATTTAAAGGTCTAAATATAACTATCGATTTTTATCGTGAATAACAATTATGAATGAAAATGAATTTACGTAGAGGCACAATGTTATGAGCTTTGTGGATGAAATGGGAAGGGTGTTTTGTTTTATTCAAACATTGATTTTAGTAATTTTTGTTTTTCGATAAATCAATAAGGCAGAATTATGCAAATTCTGCTTTTCTGCAAGTCTACTTCGTCATTCTTAAATGTAATTTGAAATTGGTAAACGTGAATAGGTTTATTTTATTTTTTTACAAAATAATTTTGTTTACCAATTAATTCCTTTCTTGTAAAGAAATAGAATATCCGCTCATATTTTTAGATGGTGGTCCAATTGGTGAATTGCCTGAAAATTGGGATCAAACCAAAGATGACACGCAATCCCTGTTCCTGAATAAGAGCGACAAGAATGATCTGGAACCCTATCCGTTAGCCCTCAGCGAAGAAGGTTCGTAATGGTCATGGGTTCTAGTTTTAAATACAATTAGTTCGATGGAATTCTTCAAAATACTTTGCAGCTTAAAAACTCCGACTTGAAATCTACAACGTATTGAACTTAACCCACGAACTTATAGTATTCGAGCCAATAAAATACAGATCATGTTCCTCGATTCCGTCGTTTGACTGTGTTTCTGGTATTACAGTTACCTACCGTCTTGCAGGCAACTCGGAAGGCTTTGAGCAAGGAGTGGATCAGCGCTTTGACGCGCCCCAGTCAACTGGAGAGTTGGATAATCTCATCATGAGACCCGAATTGTATGGCGAGCCCCCGGCAATGGAGGGCTTGTCGCCCGGCTACGAATCGCGACGACGCAAACGCGGCAGCGGCACCAAAGTGGGTGGGGCCGGTGCTGCTACCAAAGTGGCTACGAAGAATGGTTCTGGCAAGAAGAACCTAAAGTAAGTATTCAGCTCCAAAAAAATCACAACCTGCTTTATTTTCCCCAAAAAAGAAAATAAGTTAATAATTTATTTTATCTCTCAGGCCTGAAGATCATGAGGCGCTCTCCCCGGTAGAAGCAGCTTCTCCCGAGCACGACGCCGCTCATCGCCGCAAGCGAGGAAGTGGAAGTAAAGTCAGTGGAGCTGCCGCTTCTGCTAAAACTGCTACTAAGAACTCGGGTGGAAACAAGAAGAACTTCAGGTAAAAACGCATTTTTAATCGTTAAAATAGGTTTTTTACTTTAGCCATTTGCAACATGTTTTTTACCTGCACCTTTTTTGTAGGCCTCTATCGGAACGCCGTAAACGCGACTCTGGTCTTAGCGCTGCTGATGTCCGCGCTCTCCTGAACCTGTGGGAAGCCCAGGAGCGTAGGAAGCAAGAGTACAACAACCAGTGGGCTGCTGATCACTACTATGGCCGCATGAACGGAGCCGACGAGGATCAACCTGAAGTTGACGAGAATGGAGACATCTGGTACAACGAGCCTGTAGTCATCGGGCCGCGTGAACGTGACTACCCTCACCACTCTTACTTCTCGGAGCAGAATCGCATGGCTTTAGCTCGCGGCTACCCTGACATGTACCAAGTCGACCCCAATGAATTGGCTCAGAGGTATGAAGAGGCTCGTCGCAAGAGGCAATACGCTAACAAGGTGAAGAGATTCATGGTCGCCAGGAAACGCTCTGATGGAATGGCCCATCAGAACAATTACAGGCCTAGGGATGACTTGTACACGCTGGCCGAGCTTCTGCGCTCCGCGCCGCGAGTACAAGAGCAGGACATTCCAGTGTATCGGCGACTGATACTGTAAACCAGTCACTTGAATAGAGGCGTCCGTTCGCCACATCCTGCGCGTTATTACGCTATCAAGTAACAATGGCTCTACACCAATAAAGAACTGAATAAAGCTAAAACGTAGCAGGATCACAGTCGGATGGACGTCCATCGTGGCCAAATTTGGGGTGGAAGATTGTCGCGCATTTAATTCGCAGTTTATAGCGGATACCTACCAGATTAGAAATTATAGGACAATTAGTATAAGTTCCGCCATCTAAACCATTTTTCGTCTATACCCTTCATACCTTTTTGGAGAGGCCTAAATGAAGATAACCATCGATGGAAACCGAGATGAAACGATGTGAACATTGGACATCACTTTATTTTTTCTATGCTATGTATGTATTTTTCCTACCTCAGTTCCCAGCATATCTGTTTACAAGATCATTCATACATGGTAAATTTTAATCTTTTTTAGATGTTTAAATGTCATGTTTCTCCGAGTATTAATGTATAGTGAAGTAAAACTTCACCTTTATTGGATAGATATAGTTAGATAATAGTTTTATGTGTAAATGGTAAACTGATGTATTAAATTAGTATTATCTATAAATTGGTGTTTTATTTCAAACTCCCGTAACTATTATCATTAGATTGCCTCTTTGCGTAGCAATAACCTCTACCTTCTAAGCTAAGTTCTAAGTTCTACCATACTTATTATTATTCTGTGGTTCTACCACAGGCTCTACCTTAACCATAATGCTTAGAATTTTGAATTTGATCTAAGAATAAAGTTTACAAAATCAACAATAGCCGTAAACAAAGAGAAAATTAAAAATGAAGTGAACGATTCAAATTATATCACGTCACTGTCAAAATTAAAAGACATGATGATAGCCTATCACTGTATGGTAAACTAAGCAAAAAAGATAATTCTAAGAACTGATTTCTCAAGTGAATATGAGCGAAGAGAAATCCAATAGTAGAATAAGCGAAAAAAGTTCAGATATATCTCAGAGAAGCGTTTTAATTCCGGCTAATAACCCCCAAAGAATCGAAGATGTCGAGACCTCCACACAAACGACGTATGAAACTTTTTTTTGGTTTTTAATTTACGCCAAAATGTTCATTACACGTTTGGGCAGAGATTTATTTCATTCGGCTATGCGTTATTTTTATCCTGAACAAGTTTTGCCAGACCACATTGTTACTTTAATGAAAGTCCAGTCAGATCTGAGCAAAGAGCGCGAGTCTCTTCCCGCTCCATGTTGCAGGTACGACACGATCAGACGCTCTTCTAATAAATGCTCTACAGCCAATTCAACACAATCAATTTCATTAGTTCCAGAGAGTTCCACAGTCCGATCTCCAGCTTTGCGTACTTGAGAAACTTCTTGACGGCATTTAAGTCATATATTCTTTGCAGTGAAGATGACATCGGATTGCAATATTCTCTTAGCAAACAACACACAGAAATTGGTGGTATTGACAAAGAGCCAATGTTCGTGCTGGTGGATTCTAGCGGACTTAGCGATCCCAGTTCAAAGGAGCTTCTAATAAGAGATAATGCCGAGCTGAGAGATACAGTTTTAAGAAAATACTTCAATAAATACATTAAGCCTGTAGAATTGCCCTCGACCAGTAGAGACTTGTCAATACCACCTCATCACGTTAAGGAATCTGAATCTAAAGAAGAAGTACTGATGGTGGATATAAATCTACAAAGTGAAAACGAAATTCCATTTGATGAAAACGATAATGACAGTGAATCCATTGTTCTTGCGTATCTTCGAAACAAAAATATTGTTTTAGAATATGAAGGCACGTTGATGTCCAGTAAAAAGAGGTCTTCTCTTTTGGAAAGTGTTCCCAAGATGGAGACGATAGTGGAAGGAGAACAGTTTTCAGCTTTTCCGTCATTTTCTAAAATAAGGCTTATGCCAAGTCCGCAACTTTCATTTGAGGAAGACAAGAAGGAATAGTAGTAAAATTTATTGTATTTTTTTTTTAATTTGAATACATGCGAATATTCATATCTTTTTTTTTATTTCTTCTTAACTAGTTTATTTTAGTTGAAATTAATATTTTTATCTTATTTAGTTGATGTTAAAGGTAGGTTAATTACGTAATCAAATTATTATTGAGAGGTTTATTATCTACCAAATTCCACAATTCATTCAGCTAAGGTAAAAATGAAAGTGCTGGAAAATATTTGATATTTTTGTCTCAAATCAGTTTCACCTGTAGATTCATAGTTTCACACTGTACCGCGACTCAAAAATTACACCATGTACTTATGCCCTTGTTCCCGGGTCATCATGAGCATCATTTCATCTCTTTTTACATCCGTTCCTAATGTGTGTCCAATAGTTTTTCACCTTAGGTACACACGAAACACGACACGCAGATAAACCATTTTGTTACACTATCATCGTAGGAAAGTACCTATCCTTATATGGCACAGGTTATAAGACATTATCCGTTTATAACGTACAGAACTGTCGGAGTCTTCCCTGGACGTCCACATACCTTCGTACCCTGGGTCCATAAGGTCTGTGAAAATAGCTTCGGAGACTTCCCTTGATGAGAAACACCGTGATAAGAGTTTGAGGGAGGCGGTGGACTTCCTTCATCGGGATCACGAGTTTCTGATTGCTGCTGAGACTGGTAACGATCGGATTCTTGAAGTCGTAATGAGGTAAGCCATAAAGGTGCTTATTACAGGTTTAATTTAGATCTAGTTGTTATAGTTTTACGAACGTCACCGTTATTTTATAGGATAGATAAATTTCATTCATTTAGATAGCTACATCTTACATCTCACAGTGTCTTAAACTCTGATCTTTTCAACCGAATTCAAAAAAAGGAGGAGGTTCTCAATTCGACCCGTATGTTTTTTTTTACTTAGATCAGTAGGTCAGGTAGTGAAGTAATACCTAAATGGGATCTGGGAGATGCAGCTTGATACTTAACCTACTAAGAATAACTGGAATGAAAAATAAGTGAAACCCATCCTTCTATCCACGTGTTTGAGATATGAAAATAGAAATGTAGGTACCTAATTATCTTTTGGGGACTCACAATAAGTGTTCCGCAGACACGTGTTATTGAACGTGATGACAACGTGAGTTACATGCGCATGAACCCAATTTTATAGATTTTTAAAGTCTTAAAGGTCAGCCTAATACTTACACATTCAAAGAACTAATAAATAATCAAAATTTATCCGACATTCGCGCCGCGCGGGCTCTAAAATTAATTGACGTTGCATGAAAGCTACCGATTGATAAAAAATTTAATAGGTTTGGTAATCGATATTTCCATCAACTGTAACATATTATTAGGCTATAGCCTAGTTATTCATTGTAAAGCACCCACCTGCACCGGACGGCTATTTCTTGCAAGTTTCACCTTTATCTAACCGGTTGGTAACTTAGATTAATAAAGCCCTAAGGTTGGCAATGTAGAATCGTGATCAGCATCAACATACCGTAGGTATAAAATGTGTACCTATATTAGAGCTGTATTAATATTGTTGGCACGGCGAATGGATACACCAATGCACCATGGTGTCCCGGTAAAATTGAATCCTGTTGGCGCAAGTACACTATGCGGGAAGTTGGCCAAGACCTAATGGTGTGAACACCATCTCGGTTACTTTCTCCTTCCCCCACCCCGGTGTCGCCCATACTTCGGTGTGCGAGGTAGCGCTTCGACTTGGACAATTTTCCGCGTAGTGTACTTGCGCCATGTCGAATATTGATTACTTAAGCCTACCTAAGAAAAGCATCCATTCCTATCTACAAAAACAAGTATGTAGGTAGGTACCTACCTACAATAACTTGGGCATATTAATTTGTAGAACTGGAATCGACATTCAAGCGATGGACCACCTCGGCAGAAACGCGTTACACCTTGCAGTCTGCGCGAACTGCTTTCGCGCTATCATTTTACTTCTGGACGCGGGGGTCAACACAAACGTCAAGGATAACCTTGGCATGACTCCTCTCTCCCTTTGCTTGATGAGAAGGTCTGTTCTTGTCTAACAATATTTATTTTGTCGCTTCATTTTTCCTTTTTTATCGACGTCTTCTATTCATGTTCTACCTTAGAGTTCACATCTGAGAATCGACCCCCAACCCTAAGGAACTAGAAACATGAGAAAATACTCCTACTTCCTCAACCTCATCTTTTTATTGGTTTCAGGCCGTCCCTGCGAGTGGCTAATCTCCTATTTGACTATGGGGCTAAAATAATGCCACGTACCGATCCTATGGACACTGGTTTATTTATACGTAACTATCTTTACTTTAATAGTTTTTATCAGTGCTGTAACTAGCCATAAAAGCGGCCCACACATTTTCTATAACAGCGCCCTTGAAAAATGGTTTCTATGACAATTTATGCAGTCGTTTTTGCACCACTTCAGTTTGATAAAATACTTAATATAACTACTTATCTACCGTGTGTGCAGATGAGCTTAAATGTAATTAATAAGTAGGTTACTAATAATTAATTACATTTTCATTTAAGTAGCTGATTTAAAAAGATATATTTTATTTTAGAATTCGTCATGATGTGCGTACCCACCCCAGAGGAAGAAAGGATATTGTTCCTGCTTGTCGAGAAAGGTGCGATTGTGAACGACTCGGAAGCACCCGGCGGTCGGCAAGCCCTACACTTTGCAGCCATGAGCAATAACTGCAGGCTCATAAACATTCTAGTAGAACTAGGGGCCAATCTTTACTTGTTGAACCACAGAAGCCAAACACCGGCGGAAGTCGCTAGAACTTTCAGATGCAGAGAGGCACAAGCGCTTCTAGAAGCACTAGAATTGGAGCCTGAATCTAGCATTACGACTTTCACTACGATTACAACGTTTATTGATTAGAATTTAGGTAATTAAATTAATTAATGTTCATTGATAAGTGCATTATACCTAAGTCAAATTGATTTGGTATTAAAGTTACGTAATATTGTTATTTATTTTAATAAATTGATAGTAACGTGTTAAAAATCCATTGCTTATTTGAGTTTGCTGTTACGTTAAAATATAGTTTAATTATGCAGTATTAATAAACTAATGTAAGGTAATACAGTAGAAAAGAAAAAATAAACTCTTGTTCAACACCTGAAATAGAGATTCTGATTTTCGAATTTCAAAAAATCCCGCGGAAATGCGGAATAGTTCATAGTTTTTTTTTTAATCAATAATAACCGGTAAGTTATATTTCGTTATTTAGTATAACTAGCGGTTATTTTTAGGTACATCACTAATATGTAATCTTCAGTTTCAAAGATGGCGGTCTTGTCGCAGTTGCTTTTTTCTGCCAAACAATACTGAGAAAATTGATAAAGCAAACTATTTTCGTTCCTTTACAAAGAAATTTAGGTATTTTAATAAATAAGCTAAATATATTCTAACTAGTCATTTTGATAATGTGATAATAAGTGTACTCATGGCTTCCAATGTGCACGACTCGCCCGTTCAGCAGACATTTGTGGAGGAGATAGATTACAGTGAAATACAGGAATTATCGGTAATTATAAAACCAAGGACTAATTTTATTTAACAATAGCTCACGTATAATATAACTAAGGTGGTACTTATGTGTGCAGGTGGTTGGAAAAGGAGCTTTCGGTGTAGTTTGGAAAGGACTATGGAGAGACACATTTGTGGCGGTGAAGCATATCAATTCAGAGGCTGAGAAACGGGAGTTTGCGATAGAAGTTCGGCAGCTATCCCGTGTGTCACATCCCAACATAGTTAGGCTGTATGGAGCATGTATGAAAGGCGCTCATGTATGTCTTGTAATGGAATATGCTGAGGGTGGTTCGCTTTACAATGTCCTGCATAACCGCCCCAAGCCTAAATACACAGCAGCCCATGCTATGAGCTGGGCCAGACAGTGCGCTGAGGTAAATAGACTAAAGTTCTTCCACTTGTATTCATTCACTTTGTTATTGTTCAACAGCTGATACTGTTTTGTTATCTTCCATTCAACATCCAAATAGTTCTTACGTGTAATTTTTATTCTTATTGAGCTATTGACATATTTTTTCAAGAAACCTTTCAGAATTGTAAATAAAATTGTTATTTTTTGAAAATTTCAGGGAGTGGCATATCTTCACGCAATGAAACCCAAACCGTTGATACACAGGGATTTGAAACCTCCTAATTTATTGCTGGTGTCTGGAGGGCAACGACTAAAGATTTGTGATTTTGGAACTGCTGCTGACAAAGCCACATACATGACAAATAACAAAGGCAGTGCTGCTTGGATGGCTCCGGAAGTAAGTTTTATCATTCTTTTAAGGAAAATTATCTAGTTTAATTGAGGTAAAAGTCAATGGTGTAATGAATTTCAGTCAGTATGTTTTGTCACTTGTATTGTTTCAAAATACCAGTCTAGTTCAATTTAATTGTATCAAATAAGTTTGTTAACTTTTATTTCCCGAAATTAGTTTTTGATAGATATGAAATTCAGCCAGTCTTTTCCAAAAATAATGTCACATACAAAAATTAATTATTAGAGACACAAAGATTGATTAAGAGTAGGCGCACACTGTTGATTTTTCGTCGGCTGATAGTTTAGTCGGGCAGTTGATCAGTATGGGCATGTATGGAAGTGCGCACACTACGCTGGTCGATTTGGCCGATTCTTCATACAAATTAAAATCGGGCACAACTATAGGCCAACTAAAAATCAACGATGTGCGCCTACTCTTAGATTGTATAAAAAGTTCTACATGAATTTTTATTCAATAACTACATCAATAACATGTCATACTAAATTGTTTCCAGGTTTTTGAGGGTTCCACGTACACAGAGAAATGTGATGTTTTCTCATGGGGTATTATCCTATGGGAAGTACTTTCTAGAAGGAAACCCTTTGAAGAGGGAGGATCAGCTTATAGAATTATGTGGGCTGTGCATACGGGTAAGTGTCAGATTAATAAAAATCACCCTTATTACAACTAAATAAAATACCACAAGCTTAATATGCCATTGTCTGTTCATAATCCATGTCCTTACCTGTCTATTTCCCAAGTTTTTTAGAGCAAGTACTGCCTTTTTCTGGTATAATAAAATATTTAGATGATCAAACTGCAAGTAATTCTATCATGAAGTGCAAATGCTCTGCTGGAACTCATTATTTAGCCAATCCTCTTGTCAGACCACTGTAAATACAAGAAAAATAATACAAATATTTACCAATTAATATTACAGATTTATTGTCGCTCCGTGTATTATATCTAGGGTGCCTTTTGTGACAAAACATATTATTTACAACAAAATAACAGATAAAAGCACAGGATTGCGTTTAATACTTACCTTATTAATATAAGAACCTGAAGTATGACATTGATGGTATTCTTCGAATACAAATCAATTTTATGAGAATCGTCTCCCACATATTTATCAGTCAAATATGGATTGTGCATGATGTCACTTCAATTATTTCTTGGTAGTATGATCAATAAAATGTTTTAGTAAGACGGATACATTTTGCTGTGTTAGTCAGTTTTGCTTAAGCAGCTCAAGTCTCAATACTGTTGATTGTATTATTTTTAACGTATCAAGTAATTTATGCTGAGTTAAATCTTAAAAAGATTTTAAACAATTTCAGGACGAAGGCCAGACCTAATTGAGGGCTGCCCGGAGCCAATTGAACAATTGATGACACAATGCTGGCACAAAAGCCCGGCACAGAGACCAAGCATGGCTGAGGTATGTGGTTTCAAACTTTATTTGTGGCATGCAGTATAATATCTATTTGGGTATGGACATTAAAATCTTTGGATTTTAAGTTTTTATATTTGAGAACTATAAAGAACGCCTCGAGCGAACTGCCTGTTTCTAAAAATAATGCGAAAAGCTGATAAGCAAAATAAAGACAGTTCACAGGATGTGCACTCTCCAAAAATCGAGCACAACATTCAATCTGATTAAAGACTGCTGATTGTAAATTTTAAAAAACGTGGCGTTCACACTGTTTTACTGTTGGCGATTTTTTCTCGAAGCTGCGTGCAAGGGTAATCGATAAACTACAACGAACAGAACTGTGATTCATATACTTTACTGATTCGATACAGTTAGTTGAGGCAGTCAATAGTTAATTTTACGGATGAAACTAAGCCGTAACTTTACATCGAAAGAGCCGCATATGTTTCTGAAGCCTTTAGTATCCGAACTTAGTCGTAGTCTGTCTACATCCGGGAGGTGATGAGTTTGGGGTGTATCTGTTGACCTGTACTATACCTATACTGCACAGGTGGTAGAAATAATGACATCCCTATGCGAGTTCTTCCCTGGCGCGGACACTCCTATCGACTACGACGACTGCGAAGACGACGACGAAGCGTGTTCAGAGGACGAGTACATGGCGTGCGATCAAGAGAGCCTGGACTCGGATACTGAGCACTTGTTGTCGCAGCTGGTCACGCCCGTCGCGCCCGCGCAGCCGTCTCCGCGCAGCATCGTCGGCACACAGGTACAGGCGACAGGTGCAGTGACGTCACTACGACGACTGTGAGGATGACTAAAGCCTGGTTCGTGATCACGTAGAATCCCGTCCAATGACCCCAAGCTGCCCATCCTTGTCGCTCGCACGTAATTATGTTGCTGTCGCGCTCGCACACTCACTGCGGGCGCGCGTCGCACAGTCGCGACAGCAATATAATTACGCGCGAGCGATAAGGATGGGCAGCTTGGGGTCATTGGACGGGATTCTACGTGCTCACGAACCAGGCTTTAGTAAAATAGTACATGGCGTGCGACCAGGAGAGCCTGGACTCGGATACTGAGCACTTGCTGTCGCAGCTGGTCACGCCCGTCGCGCCCGCGCAGCCGTCTCCGCGCAGCATCGTCGGCACGCAGGTGCAGTGACGTCACTACGACGACTGTGAGGATAACTAGTACATGGCGTGCGACCAGGAGAGCCTGGACTCGGATACTGAGCACTTGCTGTCGCAGCTGGTCACGCCCGTCGCGCCCGCGCAGCCGTCTCCGCGCAGCATCGTCGGCACGCAGGTGCAGTGACGTCACTACGACGACTGTGAGGATAACTAGTACATGGCGTGCGACCAGGAGAGCCTGGACTCGGATACTGAGCACTTGCTGTCGCAGCTGGTCACGCCCGTCGCGCCCGCGCAGCCGTCTCCGCGCAGCATCGTCGGCACACAGGTACAGGCAACAGGTGCAGTGACGTCACTACGACAACTGTAAGCATGACGATTAAGCACATAAACCAGGACAGCCTGGATTCGGACACATTAGTACTGACCATTTTGCCGTCCGGTATCTGGATTCTTCACCAATTTCATCATAATTTGTGTTTTTCTTTGATGGGCCGAAATCGTCAACTCGGCTGATGTTTTTTAACACGGGCTCAGGCGTATACAATTCCGGAATTACCTATTGCCCATCCCAAAATAAGTTTATCTACGGCCTTTCCCAGAAAATGTTTAAACTAAATTCTTTTAATTTATTTATTTTTACTTACCTATTGTCCGTCTACCGCAGGTCAACAAACTACAGAACCTCATAGCGGCGGAAGCTCAACCGAAAGCCGCCTCTCTGACCAGAGAAGAAGTGGAAGCATACAACAGAATCGGCCCCATCCGAATCCCTCAACAGTTCAAGAGAGTGGACGAAGCGGGCAGGTCCTCCGTCACCATCAATAGGACTTCGAGCTCCCCAGTGCCACAGGAGAGAGGCTACGCCCCAAGCGAGGGTAGCACTCCGCAAGATACGTTGCGGGTGGTCCGAAGCCCGGTTGTGTTCAGTGAGAGCTCGTCTCCAAGACGGCTATCTCCTATAGGTGTGTATGATGTTTACGCATTTTTTTAAAAGTTTTCCCTGTCGTTTCTTTACGGCTACTGAAATTCCTTACCAATATGGGGTGTGGTTTTGACATTGATACCTACATTGGTAATGCCTATTGTCAAGAGTGTAGACAACAGCAACAGAATCTCGATACAAATCCTATTCCATTTTTTACAAAATGACC